CTGAAGTATTTAAACAGCTGAATTCAGGCCACAAACACAGCATTCAGAGACTGGTATTTGGCCTATCATACACTTAAATCGAACCTTTAGAATTTCACAGATTGTCCCAATTTCTAAATTTTCTTCACAGAAAATTAATGGAACTCACTTTCTGATTACTGTATTTATTATGATGCAGCAGACTCTCTTTGCAAGTCTGCCAATAGACTGAAAAGAATGAAGCTGTAAAATGCATTGCTATATTTAATTTAAAAGCCAATTATTACACACAAAAGACTTAAGTTCTAAACTATAAAAATTTTATACAAAATGTCAGAAGGGATGTCAACATAAAGAAGTAGAATACAGAATAGTATGAATCTTCTAAGTGGAAATATTTCATTGTATAGACAGGATTCAAATAGCAGCTTAACAAGAAAATAGTTATGTAATCAAGAAAATAATTATTCTACAGCATTTCCTGAGAGATGTGAACAACTCTTTGTTAAGCATATTTTCTTTTACATCCATGAGAATGCTGCAGTAAATTTAGAATGGAAGATCAGCTATTTTCAAATACCTTACCAATCTCCCCAAAGGATGACATAATTAAAACAGAAATTCTGCTTGCAGTTTTTTCTTCATTAATTCCAGATTCAAATATAAAGTTCATTAGTCAAGGTTTGGAATAATCTCGAATCAGGGAATCAAGCTTAAAAAAATAAACTCGTGATTATCTGAAAAGAAGCATCATAATGTGATACGACCTTGCTCAAACATCCTGAGTTACAAACATTAGTAAAATCAGTACTAATATTAGCACTGCAGGAAAAATATTATTAAAGAGTATTGAACAACATTAATGATTATCATGTATTTTACAATAATTTTATTGGCTAAAGGCTTGGTAAGAGAGCAACTATTCTGAAGAGAAACACATACATCTACAGTGAATTAGTGGAGCCCCTGCAAATTGCTGTGGATATCCAGGCAACCATTCATCTGCTGCTATTAAACTAAAAAAAGAACAGTTACCTTGGCAACTGCTGTATCTGATATTACACTGTTATTTCTAATACGAAAAAAAAAAAAAAGAAGAAAATTCTCATGGTCTTAGGACTGGGTTGCTGAGGCCAAATGAGTTTCATATTTTCATTGGCAGCGTCATTAGAGATATCACTGCAGACTTACTAATGAAGCTCTCCTGATTTTCAAATAGACATGAATCGAAAGCGTTTTCATGATATTAAATCAAATGACACCCAGGTACATTCTCCATCTTTGGAGAATCATTTGCTAACATGAGTGCTACTCCAAATGCAATGCCTCCTGTTTCATTCTGTCAGCCCACGGTGGCACAGCAGTACAGGTTGAACCTTCCCATCAGTGTTCCTTTACATGTTGTTGCTGTGTGACAGATGGCAGCAGAGGGGCAGTTTGACAAAATGACACCTGACCTGGAAGTGCAGATGAAGCAACGGTGTGTCACTGAATTCCTCCACGAGGAAAATACTGCACCCACTAACACTGATTGATGCTCACTGAACACTGACAGAGATCAAACAGTGGGTGGTGCATTTCAGCAGTAGAGACAGCAGCATGAAAGACCAACCTTGTTCCAGATAGTCATGAAGAACTTGCTATGGCATAAAAGAAAATAAAAACAAAACAAAGCATAGCTAATGGTAGTGACTGTGCTGCAAAATAGTGTTTTGTGACTGAAAATTTGCTCTAACAAATGGTGTTATTGTGCTTTTTGCACCTGTTGTAATTTCCATGGAAAAAAAAAGAGACATCACTTTTTGAGTTATGTCCCTATACACAACATAGGACTCGAAAGGAGGATTTTGTTTCCTTAGTATTCAAAATACACAATTAAGCTACATATTACCTACCAAAAATAATTCATAGAAAGGAGATCAGTGACTTCAGGACATGTGCCTTTCCCATGGCCTGAGGAAGCTCTTGGCATTAGATGGACATAAGCAGAAAAGAGTCACTTCCTTAGCCTGCCCTACAGCCACAGGGACTGCTTTGCATCTTCCAAGCTGCAAACTAAGGGCTAAGCACCTCTGCCTTTCCTGCAGCCAGCACATCCCTGATGTACTGCAGTATGTGTACAGGGAACCTTGGGCAGCTCTTAGCTCTCCCACCCACTGCTCCTTTCTGTACTCAGAAAGTAGTTGAGTACAGAAGAGGTGTTGAAGTACTTGTGTCTTTAAAATGAGAAGAAAAAGCCAGTCTGAACTCAAATACTTGGCTTACCAATATCGTGTTTCCAAAAAACTACTTACAGACATTTTAAAATCACCACGTACGAGCCCCAAAACGATGCTTTTAAACATCAGTCCAACTACAGTTAGCTCAAATTATCTAAGCTTTTTTCTCCCTGAGTATAGCAAAGTGATGCCTCAAATTTAATTTACACAATAATTATTAAACTAGATTTCTCTGAAGACTCATACAATACAATCCATGTTTCCTCAATAAATAAATGGTTATTGCGTATTTTACAGTTTATACAGAATTGTTTGGAATGCACTACGGGATACTAACTATGGAATCATTTACTGACCACATCACACAAATATCACTTGTGGGTTAGAGCTCAGGAGATTTTAAGGAGTTTAAAAAAAAAAACAAAAACATTTATCAATAAATTACCTTTCCCAAAGGAGTTTTTATGGAGTCTGATAATTTAGAAATTGAGAATGAGGATGTGGTACATCAAGAATTATGATACAGGATACAAAAATTTTCTTCTACTAATGCCACTGATCTGTCAGTTGTTGATAGTGCAGAAAATAGCTTTTGTACCTGAAACTTGTCTCTGTTGACAGCATTGACAAGAGAGGCATTATCAGATGAACATGGCATGGAATGTCTCTTCAGTTGAAGGTATGAGGATACAGTTTGCACATGGAAGCCTACCAGTAATTGTGGAACTATTCATTTCACAGGTTACACTGGTACTGTTCAAAATTATTTCATCCCAATGTTCACCTATAGTCAATGAAAATCCTAGCCCGAAACAATTTCAGTTTTTTGAGGGGAACAACAAAGTCAAACAAGAGGGCCCCATCTAACCTACCTCAATTCTTTCTCCCACATGAATGAGTATTTGCTTTGAGCATATTACAGTTCAAAGCTTTTGTTCAGAATTGTCCATCATCAACATTTCACTAATTTGCACAGTCATCCTAACACCATAAGCATACTCCTAGTGCAGACAAATTCAGACAAAGGAGATCACCTTCAAAAAACATTAAAAATTAGGAAGATGAGTCAACATTTGTATACTTCTGATCTTTTAGATTAAAGAGGACTGCTTATTTCCACACAAAATGGACATTATCAGTCTGACTGGTTTCATAGGGCATTAAAAAAAAAAAAAACAACTTTTTCTTTACAGTATATGCTATGGCTTCCTTTGATGGGGGAAAAACAGAATGAAAGTAGTGAACACAGCCTGTATTCCAGTCTGATAAACTACTAAGCCACACTTCCACTGTTTGCAATATTATTAGAAGTGCTGCTTTGCACAATCACTGTTGCCAGTGGACTCAAAATCAAATCTGAAGTCATTACATAAAAATGATACTGCAGAACTCAATTTTAACTTCATTAAAGGAAGAAAACAGCTGACAAACGGAGCCATCCACTCTGATGTGTCTCAGCTTCAAATAATGCATGAAACAATTGGAAACCCAGCCTTAGGGTTGCTGCTGCTCCTTTAAAGTAGTCAATGGTACTTACAGAGTTAAAAACACAGAAATGTAAGACTGCAGAATTAAAAAGTTAGTCATGAACCTCACTAAAATGCAGGTTGAAGCCAAAAGAATTAAAACTACATGAAACCTTGATCAGCGTTTGAAAGGGAAAAGCGAAGTCTTTTGTTAGCACAAAGCAAGGACAGCACAGTGTTGCCAGAAGGATTACACAGCCCTGAATAATTTCACAAAGTTATGAAATAATTTTAGCAAAGAACGAAACATAAAGAACAAAAACTTAGTAAGTTTTCATCAACTGGCAAACTTTAACATTATCAGCTTGTTCTTTCTATCCATTTATAAAGCTGATCAAACCCACTTCAAAGCATCCTGAAATCTAACATCAATCTCTGCTGTGGCATATATCTCATTTCTGCATCCTGTAACTTTAATTCTTTTGAACTTGCATCTAAATAGCTCAAGACAAATGCTTCAGAACGTGACTTGCACAGTGTAAAACATTGCTGCTGATTATAAAGTAAACCAAATTCAGGTTGTATTGTTTTCCTGTTCAGTATCTGATCTTTTAAACCACTCACGTGCTTTACAAGCTTCAGATAAACTACATATGTTATTTGTTACCTCCAATAAAAAAAAAAAAAAAAAGAAGTCAAATATCTGTCCTGTCTTTGTGTACTCTTTATACAGCACTGGCCCATCAAGAAAGTAGTCCAGGCTTGGTTGCAGCAATGCTTCAGCATCAACAGAAAAAAAAAAAATAAAGTTCTCTCCTTCTTAAAATTAATAACAATAACTAGCTGTCTAGTTATAATACAACCACATGAATTAGAAATTTTAAACCAGCCAGTTTTACAGCATCCTCTGATTTCCCTGCCTTCTACACATGCCATTCTGACATCATAACTCAAATATAATATTCTAAGGGAAAGAAAAGCACACTTCTAAACTACAAGCAAGATTACGAATACTTTTGACTAATTTAAAACAATTTATTCCTTTCAGGCTATTTGTACCATTAAAAATACCACTGTTCCAATTTCACATTAATTCATACAGACTTGAGGCAGCACAATTCCTATTCAGATACTTCTCATACCCCCATCCCACTTTTCCAAATATGCATATGGCTTATAGTCTGCATAAAGTCATATTACATATTTTGAGGTTATCTCCTACCAAAAATTGAGGGCTTACTCCAAATCTGACAGTTTTTAGGAACCCAGAAAACATTCCTTTAGGAAGAATTTAAGCTAATTATTTCTTTTACTGAAATTGTTCAAAAATTAGTACCTTTTCTGCTCAAGTGTTCATCTATTTCTTCTCTCATGCTACACTTGAAGTCACAATTCTGCTTATGAGACTGCAATCAATTCTGCAATATTCAATTACAGTATCTCAAAGATGTAGGCTTTGGTGAATAATAAAGCAGTCAATTTGACCTCCTGCAGTCCTGCTTCTTATTTTAGTATTTCTGAAAATTACAAAAGACAAATACTCAGAAAGCCAGTTCCTACAGCATATTTTATTCATGGGATCAAAGGCAATTTTCAGATTTTTAACGCAAGTGCTGAGTTGTCACTGCAATACTCACTGCAGATTAACCAAGAGTGGTTTTACCTGCACCAGTGTTGACTATGGTTGTAGGACACCAGGGAACTCTGCCAGAGGTTCTGATTTATGCTGACTGTTCACTGGCTGCTGTGATTCTTACTAAAGTGAAAAATACAATGAAAAAATTGTCGCCAGGGAGAAAAACAAACAACAAAATACTACACTTATAATTTTATTTTTTTTTTTTAAGGCAATGTTTCAGTATTTCAAACAAACAAACAAACAAAAAATATACCAAATAGATATTATGAGAAATGTTACAGAAACTTCAGAGCTAATACATGGTGGAAACATATATATATTTATTAGTACCTAATTCTTTTCCTTCGGTACTTAAATCTGCAGCATTACGGTCATTTTGCCAAAGTCAGACATCAGAAGTGTTGCTTGGTTTCCATAGCCACTTTCTTTTACTAATCCAGAATGTATTCCTGGACCCAAAAGATAGAGCATGATCCTCACAGGTGAATACCTACAGAGAAGAGTGATGGAATCTGGTCAGATTTTGATAGAAATTGTGCTGAAAGAGTCTCCTGATGTTCTAAATGAAGACAGCAGCAGCACAATTACCTTGTAGCAACTTCTTTTAACACCAAAAACTAATATGAAATTGTCATCATGAAATCCCTTCATTATTCCCTGGAACAATGCTTGAGGCATTATGCCTGATGCTGTCATTATCACAGCTCTGCACCTCATAAATGTAAACTGGGAATAGAAAGAAAGATGGTGCATGATATTAAAATCTGCCATTTTGAGAATAATGTTTCAAAACAGATCACAGGGCTCAGATGATGCCTGCCTGCCAGTTCTTGCAGCTTTCAGTATCAGTTTATAACATCACCAGCAATTTCACTGCATAGAATCAAAAAAAGGCAGGTGCTCCTGTTCTCCATTTTGGCTCACCTGGAAGATATAGCTCATCAGAATGTTGAACCCAGTCCATTGTTTTAATTGCTTTAAAGCAAGAAAAAGAAGCATCCTTACTAAATTATTCCTCTTTGCCTCATGCAGTTCGGCTCTGCATCTCTAACACAAGAATCCCAAACTATTCCCTCATATTACATACAGCCTGGCAGTAGCAAAAATACATTATTTTCTAAGTAGTTTTCACAACACAAAAGCATTAAAGCTGCTCTTGTAAAAAGATATTCTCAAAAGCAATTTAGTTTACAGAGCTTTTCTCCCACTTTGTCTCCTTTCCATGCTTTCTTAAAATGAAATGTTATACACTCTTACTCCATTTTCGCAGTTACCCAGCTAAAGAGGTGAACATGCCAGCTCCATCTAGTTCATAGATTACAGCTATCCTTTGGAAGCAGAGGTAAATTCGTTTTGGGCTTTTTTTTTTGTTTTGTTTTGTTGGGTTTTTTTTTTTTGCATTAAGAAACTAACTGAAGTGAAGCTTGCATAAGGCATGAGGCTAGAGCTGTACACACAATATACAAAAGCACAGAGCTTAGCAAGGCCTACAGACTCTGCACTGGACACAGAAACTCCTAAATGCTAAGCTTTTACAAAATTGAAAAGCTTCTATTTTTCTCACTGTAATTCCATTATAAGAACTGCTCAGAATCCAGTGAAACTTGAAAAGTTACACCACCACCACCACCACACAAAAGCCACTGATAGCAAGCAGAGAAATCCACTGCACGTAATTTCAATCGAAGTAGAAAAAGGTTCACAAATGAAAACCGTAACTCAGGAGTACCCCATGTTAGAGCTGTGTGGGCCTATTTTTATTGTAATCAATTCTTCTTGAAAAGATTGCTCAGGGTTAAAAAGCTTATTTGCAATCACTTTGACAATATGGCTCTATTTGTTTAAGTTTCATAGGTAGAATCCATCGGTAGCCTTAGTATTTAACTATAATTGGATGATATTTATTCAGCTAGAACATTTTTTCTGACATTTATATTACCTCAAAGGACAACACCACCTTTGGAAATTCTATTTCAGATTAAGCTAATTGAACTTTTGAAGGCATGGAAATCTTGTCGTGAATCAGCATGGCTGTTTATGACTTTGAAGGGGTAACATATCATAGAAATTGACTTCTTTTCAGCCTCAGTGAAAAGGAATCAAGTTGCATGAAAAAATAAATTAATTCTAGGCAAGACAGATCCCTAGAGGTACATTCTCTAAATGCTGCACTCCCATAACACATACACACTTTGAAGACAGCTTTTTTGTCTTTATGGAAAGGCTAAAGCTATTCTAAGCTAAAATTTATTGCTTTCATTGAATATCTCAGTCTAATAATGAAAGCATTTGAAGAACTAGAATGTATAGCAATGTATACATTATATGCTCAAGGTAAATCATTAAGCGTATGGGGAAAAATGAAAAGCTTTGGAAAGTCTCTGGTGAAACTGATTGTGGAATATAAGCCAAATTACCTGTAATTGATAGAGCTTCTTATTTAGAAGTCATTAATCTAAATGCAGGTCATGTGAAGTAGAAAACAAGCATTGAATACAATTTCCTGAGTGAAAAGAATGGGTATTCTCTGACCAGCCACCAGCAGCAATGTTCATTGTTTACAAGAGAACTAAATAGCTGCAGAAAACTGTGCATGAATCAGAGAGGTGTGTTTCTTCTTCTTAAAAACTATCTTTTTCACTGTCTCTTAGAAAGCCCACCATCAGTTGTTTTTTTGTTTTGTTTTTTAAAAAGCAAGTTGTTACATGCTATAACAATACCATTATTAACATAAAAATTAGAGGTTCCAAGCCCTTTATCTGCAATACCAAAGAGGTTCTTTCTGTATGTGCTCAAATCCCTAGAAAACTTTGAAGTCAAATTAGGCACTGCAATACCAGATAGTAATCACAGTCAGGCATCCCATCCCATAGCTGAAGCATGAGTTCTTTTGAGGTTCTGGCTTTATAAAAGTATGTCATTCCTTTGTAGGCAAACTTGATGCATAAAATTAAGCTTTCCATGGCATGCAAAGCAGTGTATTAAGTTAGGCCACATAATATTCAGAGAACAGGACTGTCATTTTTGTTCTACAGGAAAAGTCTATTCAAAAGCTATTTGGGATCAAACACACTGGTTATTTCAATTACTTTGGCAGTTTGAGATCATATAGCAGCTGGCAAATTTGTGACAGGTCTCTTGATACAGTATTTACACATGCTTTTAGATATCATATTTTCATCAGTAACAAAAACTTTCTTGGTACTACTCCTCCACCATAAATTTTAGTAAAATAGGATATGAAAGAACAAGTACTTGCCAACACTAAAATTAACAGCCTTCCCTTTCAGTATACAGAAATGCAATTTTACAGCCCCATTTAGCATAAGGATGAAAGATTGCTGGAGTTTACTAGAAGAGTATAAGTTACCCAATACACTCTTGTAAAATATCCCCAAGGACTACAATTAGTCTTAGGCTGGTTGGGTTTGGAAAGAAAGCCTAAAACTGTCATTTAAGTAAGGCTGAAAAGGAGTTTCCAAAGGAAGAAGTTGGTTGCCAAAAATTTAATGCCTCTTGGTCTTGGGTTAAGGCTCAACTGAGTTCCTAGGTTTAGGGTTGAGAAGAAAAGCAGTTCTTACAGCTGCAGCATGAGTAGGGCTAAAAAGGGCTCCAAACCAGGGAAGGCTGCCAAAACAAATTCCTCTGGGTCCCAGTTGGTAGAATAAAGATTCACTGAGGACCTGAGGTTAAGCTTGGCAGAGAGATATAGAGATATTCAGCATGAGTAGGGTCAGAAAGGGGCTGCCAAAGGAAATCTCCCCTAACAGCTTCCTCCTCTGGACCATATCTGGTGGTCTTGGGTTAAGGCTATGGTTGGGATTGGAAATGGGTTTTAGAAAAAAAGAGATTCCAGAGCTACGGTTTGTCTCATAATATGGTTCTGCATGTTACTGTAATAATCTAACCAATTTCACAAGAGTTATCTATTTCCCCCAGCTCTTCAATGGCATCTCAATTTTGTTAAAAGTCCCTTACACATCAGCAGAAACAAGCTCATGGACATTTTCACATATGTAACCCTGAACTTTTTCCCCCCTAAAGCATTCTCACAATCTAAGGATTTAAATTTCCTGGATGTTTATAGCTCTGCAGAGATATAATCTTACTAATGAATGGCCCAAGATCAGAAGGAAGAAAAAAAAAACATAAATCGTGAAACCTGAGATAGCTGCCAATTTTTTTAAATTTATTATTTTTTTTTAATACAACACCTAAAATCCTGATTCTCTCATAAGAAACTTACAATTCTATTTTTTGCTCTCTTACATCCGTAGATCAGGAATAACTCATGGAGAATGGGAAAACTCAGATCAAGTCAAAAGTTAAAGAAGATTATAATACACTACCATCAAGATTGAAGCATAGAGAATAAATTAGTTCGGGAAAGCAATGCTCCACCAGATGGCATTATACAGAAAGTAAGAACCTCCTACCTGTTCATTCTTGTACCTTTTATGAGTAATAAGATTTCAAGAACAAACTCATAACTAGACTTATAATCAACATAAATTTAATCTACATTGATTTTGACAGATCATAGCAGACCAATGAAGCTCAAAGTTTCTCCATTTCCCTTAACATCAGGGTCATCAGCACGCCAAAAAGCTTAGGAAGTTCTCATTTCCTATATATTTCCTATATATATATTTTTCTAACAGACTTCTTGTTAATTTATCAAAAATACCTCTTATGCTTATGGAAACATTGAATAAGAATAATACAGAATATTACTTCAGAGAATAATACTTCAGTATATATTAGTATGAACAAATTTCTATTCTCTTCATAAGCTATGTACAGTTACACTCCTATTATTGCTGTCTCCTGCCTAGTTATCCTCTCTCTCTCTCTCTCTCTCCTGTATATTTTACAACCAAGATGGAAAGAAAGATGCAAGTTAGGTAAGAAAATCACGTACAACTGATATCTTATACAATCAAATAATTGTTTGAATTAGAAGGAACCCTTAAAAGCTACCTGGTCCAAATACCCAGCAATGAACAGGAATATCTTCAGCTAGATCACATTGCTCAGAGCCCCGGCAGCCTGACCTTGAGTATCTACAGGGATAAAGCATCCATCACCTCTCTGGGCAACTGTTCCAGTGCCTCACCACCCTCACTGTGAAACACTTTCTTTATATCCAATCCCCTCTTTTAGTTTGAAACCCTTTCCCCTTGTCTCGTCACAACAGACCCAGCTAAAGAGTCTGTCCCCTTCCTTCTTATGGATCCCCTTCTGATACAAAAAGGCCACTCTCAGGTCTCTCCAGAGCCCTCTGTTCTTCAGGCTGAAGCTGTTCTTCAGCCTGTCCTCACTGGGAAAGCGATTCCATCCCTGGGATCATTTTTGTGATCCTTCTCTGGACGTGGTCCAACAGGTCCATGTCTCTCTTGTCCTGAGGACTCCACATCTGGACACAGTGCTCCA